TTGGGTGTCTGTAAACGTTTGTCACAGATTATGTCTATCGTATCCTGGACTGGTACATTGGAATCATTATTTACGACGTCCAAGGAGGCGAGTAGTCCCTGTGAATTTGTGACATGTAGTAAGTGGAGGAAGTCGTCTGTAGATGTTAGCATGTGTTGGGCAGGCATATACGGAGTGATGATGTGGTTTTTTCTTTGGCAGTCTTGTAAATAGGGGTAGGAATTTGTGATATGATTGGCCGTAGAGGGCTGTTCTGTTTATGAATTTTTACGGTTCCGTAGATATATCCAGGCGCATAGTCTCCTATGATAGGTTGGAGAACCTTTTCTTTTGCTTGTTTGTTGACAGTGGCGATCAATTTATTAACGTCTGTTTTTAGTGTTTTTGTCGGGTCAGCTCTAATCCTCTTAAACTTGCTATTATCCGATAGAATGGCGTCCAATTTTGTCTTATATTCCTGTTTGTCCATGATCAGTAGAATATTAGCTTTGTCCGCACGTCGCACAATGATGTCGTCATGGTTTCTGAGTTCCTTAGCAGCAGTACGGAGTTTTGGTGTTAGCAGGGGGGTGTTGTCACGGTCACGTCGTTTCGTGCTTTCCGCGCGTAGTTGGTCCCGCAAGGCTGGATTTATGTCGATAAGGTCCTGTTGTTGTAGTTGTATAAGAGAGCAGAAACATTCACATCGATATATATATATGGCAAAAAAAACTTCTGATTAAAAATTCACAACGATATACATATACATGGTAAATAAAACTTCTGAATGAACATTTAAAACGATATACATGACCCGACAGTAAAAGACGATAAAATAACCTTGGAGTTTCAGGAGAAACTTGTCAAAAGGCAAATATCAGAAGGAGAAACCGCCATCCACGAAATAAACGACAAAATCGAGGAACTATCGCAGAATTTACGCCAGGAAATCACCGACAATTCACTGAATACGGAACTACTAACCCACCTGCAAAACACAATCAACAAACACAAAGAAAAGAAAAGATCACGGATAACAAAAAAGCTGAACAACCTATATCAAGGTACCATCTGCCTACCACAAGAAAAAGCGTACTACCTGAATCTTTCCAACACAGAACTGACTACAGACCAGAAACAACTACTCAACCTGGGGCCAAAATACCATTTTAAACCTAAATTCGACAAGGACATCAAAGCCGCTGAGCTCGTAAAACTCTAAATCAGTAGTTTTTATTTACCATAAATATATCGATATGAATGTTTAATCAGAAGTTTTTATTTACCATATATATATATATATATATATATATCAGTGTGAATTTTTAATAAGAAATCTTAATTTACCATGAATATATGTATCGATGTGAATGTTTAAACAGAAGTTTTATTTTTATATATATATATAAATATATCATTGTAAGTGTTTATTCAGAAGTTTTTATTTACCATATACATATATACATATATACATATACATATATGTATATTGTTGTGAATGTTTAACCAGAAGTTTGATTTACCATATATATATATATATTTCAATGTGAATTTTTAAATAGAAGTTTTATTTACCATATATATATATATATATATATCGATGTGAATGTTTAATCAGAAGTTTTTATTTACCA